ACCAATGCCAATTTGACCGTGCACGACACATGTCATTGTGACAATTAGTGTTAACGTAAGAAACATTTAAAGTTGATGACGTCTCATCGCCACCAGATTTGGTGGGTAGGTTATGTGAGCGACAGTGCATACAGTCCCACCGGCAAAGTTTGTTACGACGTTTCGTTTATATATTCAACAGGGTGGTACTATGGATTGAGGAAAAAATGTCTTTCATTCAAAACGGGCTACAGATTGACGCCCCCGACGTTTCGAACCGCTGGCTCTAAATGGACGAAATCATCAGGATTTTTCTTAATTATGGGACAATCGGAACCAAACTCAGCACGTAGATAGAAGTACACAAATGGAGTCCTCAGACGGACAGACGGTCATTGTATTACAAATTTTTAAATTAATTATTTATTAATTTTTAATTTATTACTTTTTCAGCATTTCGAACTACACTTTTTCAAACATGTCGCTCAAATCCTTCAATTTAATTGCTGTTAGTAAGAAGTTTCACTTCAAATATGCGCACATAGTGCACACATAAATTTTTATTTGTTTTTGGGGTCGAAGTACTGTTTTTATTAGAAAATTTTTAAAATCTCCAGGTGCAGATATTATTTACAGGTTGACTTTATCAACAATTAGAATTTAAACAGGTTAAGTTTTATAAAATTCTGCTACTCTAAAATAAACAAGCTTTTAAAGAAAATATTATCTTTTCTTGAACTAAATATTCTTATTATGGACGATAACAACTAACCGAGTTTTACCAATGATCTTTAAGGGCCTATAAAATTCCTATTTGTGTAAAAGTTTATAAGACGTCAAAAATCGAAATGAAAAAAAAACGCTCGTGATTTCTGCCGTTTATTATCCAGCGTAATATGATTAGTGTTTCCTTTTCTCCAAAATAGGAAATTCTGATTGACTAGTTTTGTATTAGCAATAAAATTTATAAAATATATATACAGGGTATCAAAAAAATGCATCTAATTCTACTGATTAAAATAAACCAAAAGGTTCCTATGAACATATGACCTAAAATGCTTTCTGAACAAAAAAAAAATATCTTGTTTATTTTTAAAAATATTGCTAAACTGTTTTCTTCAAATTTGGTACTCTTACACACATTTTAATACCAAAGCGAATGGCGATAGTGTAAAAACCCGTAACAGCCCTGAAAGGATATTTTTCATTAGGTTAGAGAGTACTACTGGTGGTACTTCTTTTATCTTTATAAATAGTAATTTTAACAAATGAGAATTAAAGCTAGAACTTCTTCGGAAAGAAAAAGAAGAAGAAGAAGAAGAAGAAGAAGAAGAACAAGAAGAAGAAGAAGAAGAAGAAGAAGAAGAAGAAGAAGACGACGACGAAGAAGAAGAAGAAGAAGAAGAAGAAGAAGTGTGCCATATCATGTCTCTCTACTACCTTCAAAATCGCCAAGTGCCGTTCTATCCTCGATGAAAAAAAAATGAAAATGTAATTCTGCCTTTAGTGCAATATTAAAAAATTAAGCCATACGTCTATGTCAAATTTCAGGAAAAATGGGTTACCAATGTTCATAAAAATAAACAAAATATATTATTTTTATTTAACCTCTCGAGGGCTGTCTTCGGGAAACATTTTAGGGCATATGTTCATAGGAACTTTTTGTTTTATTTTTATCTGCAGAATCACCCACCCAAGTTAGATATATTTCTTTTTTCATTTTTTTATTAGAATTTCGATTCTGTGACTCTTCAACCATAATATATGTAATACTAATAGTTATATTCATGATTTTTTTTTACATAAACACGTGCTTATTGTAAACACTTCATGGGTGTGTTGTATATTATATGCATTTAACAATTATATATAATATAATATTTAACCATTCTGGATAGAATTTACGTTTTTGGTTTTAAAAATATTTAAGAAGCGATATAACTAGATTTAGATATATTGCGTTATATATTCTGTAATAATATTATTTTTGAATCATTTTAAGCTATGCATAAACATGAACATGCCAACGACTAGAATATATTACAAATAGTTTGCTATTACAGTCAATAAAAATTACATTATCGACCGTTTTCCCTAAATGACTCTGCCGTGCAGCCATTAAAGTTTAGCAGGGCAGTCATCCTTTTAGGGTATTAAAGAAATACTTTATGGACATCCACAAAAGAGTTTCGAACAATCCCGAGTTTCGGAAATCCCCAGGGTTACTCTTTAAAACTCTACCTCCTGAGAAGCAGCTGACCCAGTAGATTAATAATTTTTTTATACTGAAGGCTATAAAGGGAAATAGCGATTTTAAGAGTATCTAGGGGATATTTTTCTGAAATTAAAGAATATTATTAGTTAGGTATCTGATACAGGGTGGTCCGAACTATATTCCGGATACTTCGGCAGAATATTCTGCAGATAAAAATAAGTAAAAATATTCGTATAGCTCTATGTCCAAAAATGCTTAGTTTCGGAGATACAGGGTGTAAAAGTTTCATTTTTATTTCTATTTTTTCCAAATAATTTCTGCAGTAACGTCAATATTTGGATTAAAATTGGTGTCTGGGAGTTTTTTGACATGAGAAATTTGATTTTGATGTCAATATGACTCCTATTAGTAGAGGACGCCACCTACATATTTTTTAACTGGTTTGAAGGGTAATAACTTTTCGTCCGTGCTTGTATAAAACTATTGAGTAAAAAAATATACATTTACGACGCTTTTTACGTAAAAAAGGTCTCTTGGTAAAAATCGCTACGGGTAATGGTTTTTGAGATATTTGAAATCGAAATTATTAATACCTGTCATCAATGACATAAATTAAACATGTTAACCTAAATAGTTATTAGACTGAGATCATACATTTGAAATGTTTTTGTACCAAAAGTTCAACAAAAACTTGTTATCATCATTTTTGCAGAAAAATATGATTAATATAAAAAATAAAATTTCCCAAATTTCTTATTTCAGTGAAATTACTATATCTACTCAACGTGTTTATTTTTCGTCAATAATGGCATGTATTGACTATTTCCATTCTAAATATCTTGAGAACGGTTGTTCGTAGCGATTTTTACAAAGATATATTTTACTTAAAAAAATCACAGAGATATATATTTTTTCTTCGGTAGTTTTATCCAGGTACGGACAAAAGTTATTACTCTTAAAACACATGTAGGTGGCGCCCTCTACCAGTAGGAGTCATATAGACATCAAAATCAAATTTCTCATGTCAAAAAACTCCAGACACCAATTTTCATCTAAATATTGACGCTACTTCAGAAATTATTGGAAAAAAATCGAAATAAAAATGAAATTTCTACACCCTGTATCTCCAAAACTAAGAATTGGACATACATTTATACGAAGTTTTTTAACTATTTTTATCTGCAGAATATGCTGCCGAGTTTTCGGAATACAATCGGACCGCCTTGTATACAGGGTGCTACAAATTCGAGGTACGAGCATTGGTATCTCGGAAACCGTAATAGATACTGACTGTTCACCAAGATGCCATCAAAAAAGTTTTAAAAATTTCAAGGATTGCTGAGTTTCCTGGGAAAAACGGATTTTTGGAAACTAATTTTATTTTTTCCTGTCGTTACTTTTTAGAAAATCAAAAAACTAATGGCACATTCTCATAGCCACTTTATTAGGACTATCTGATAGTATTTTTAGATTTTGAAATTAGCTGATAATTTGTGAGATACAGAGGCCAACTTAATTTTTTTAAATACGGACCTGCATTTTTTATTTCAGATTTTGGAAGAAGTCAGTCTCCTGAGTACAATGATATGCCACACTTTATACTTTTTTTGTTTTGGGTACCGGGAACAGCAACAAAACTATTTAATTATTATTTAAAAAAATTTCAAGTCCGACTCTGTTTTTTAAATTGTTTAATTATAATTGAATAGGGAAAATTGAGCCAATTGAAAGATTCAAATAAATAATATCCAGATCAGCAATTTAAAGATATTATTTTTAATTTTTCTTATTGTGAATTTGAAATTCTCAGTGTACGATCTAATAATTTGCATAATATTTATCGTAGTTATTATGAATAAATTAACTTCTACAAATTAGTTTCTAAAGCTTTACATAGTCTACATGTTCGAAAGGGTTTCCACCCTCCCTATTGCACAAATTTATTTTTCGTTCAATTTTATTTATAGCTTTTGAATAGAACTTCTTATACTTTCGAATTCATTTTGTACTCTTTATTGCAACTGCCGAGATGTGTTGATTTCACTTTTTTGTAAAATTTGGACCTGTCGAGTTACTTGACGTCATCAGACGGTCCAGGAATCTCGCTTGCCATTATACTGCTCTACCATTTCCAATCCATCTTCCGGGGAAATAATTTGATTGTTTATATTACATGTTATTTATATTATTTTTTATTATTTTATTGCATTTGATTTTCCGTATTCAACCCACATCACTGTTAAGTTTGAAAGCTTATCAATATTGGAACGATGAATATATTAAATATTAAAAAAAAACAGAGCCGGACTTGAAATTAGTATAAATAAATTGTGTCCAAATTTCCAAAACAAAGAAAATATTAAGTGTGGCATATCATTGTACTCAGGAGACCGAGTTCTTTCAAAACCTGAAATAAAAAATGCAGGTCCGTATTTAAAAAAATTAAGTTGGCCTCTGTATCTCACAAATTATCAGCTAATTTAAAAAGCTTTTTCCAAAAAACTCAGCAATCCTTGATAATTTTAAAACTTTTTTGATGGCATCTTGGTGAACATCCCAAAGGCGGCAACTTTCCCCCAATTTAACCATGTTCGTATCTATTACGGTTACCGAGTTACCAATGCTCATACCTCGAATTTGTAGCACCCTGTATAATGGTATTATGTTTATATTCTTACTAGCTTTTGCCCGCGACTTCGTCCGCGTATATTGAGCAATCCACGCGGAATTAGTAATATTAGATTAGAATTAGTAAAACACTAAAAGTAAAAATTAGTAAAAATAATATATAATTCTTACATAATCATTAAAGTACCTCCTTATAAACTACATTACAGGTTCTGCCTTCAGGTGCTAACACGACCAGGTTGCTTGGTGAGCTCACTCTCGAGCAGGCCACGTAGAACTGACCGTGAGAGAAGCAATTCCCTCTTAAGTCTATTCCCGCTGTTTTCAGTGACTGATCCTGAGCTTTATTAATTGTCATAGCAAAACAGGTCTTAAGAGGGATCTGCAATCTCTTGAACTCGAACGGGTAGTCCGTTGGTATCAGAGGTATTCGAGGAATAAACACTGATTCACCTCGAGCACAGCCGGTAAATATAATGGCCTCTATCACGTTTTTGTGTAAGGCTTTCACGCGCAACCTGGTCCCATTGCACAATTTAGGTGGATTGAGATTTCTTAGCAGCATTACCGGTGCTCCTACTTTGATGGTAAGTGTGTGAGGCGGTAGACCAGGTGGGTTTAAAGAATTCAGGAACTCCACAGGATAGTGAACAGCATCATCCGTATGTACAACAGTGTCCACGGATCTGTACTCGTGTTCTGGCCCTTCGAAGGACCTTAATAAAATATCGTTAATGGCGGAAGACTGATCATTTTTAGTTGTGAGAATTGTACGTTCGCATAGCCAGTCCGTGGATTTGCTGTTTAAGTTATGTATATCTGGATATATTCGAGTTATTAGGTCGTCAATAGTTGATACAACTACGGCAAGATCTGAGGTAATGGTTATTTTGCCCTCGGTTTCCGGATATTCTCCGTTACCTATTTTAAGAAGGAGATCGGCAAATTGTCCAGTGCAAACGTCGCCCTTCAAGTACACTCGCATGTTTTTCGTAAGGTGGAGTTTTTTGACAAAAGGCCAAAGATTAGAGGCCTTAATGCAAGCCTTAACTTCGTTAGCTCGAGTTCCTTTCGGCACTACCGGCAGAGTCTGACGGAAGTCTCCAGCTAACAACACGGTGACTCCACCCATCATGTCGTCGTTCCCTCTGATATCTTTAAGAGTTATGTTTAGCGCTTCGAAACCCCTTTTATGCGCCATCGTGCTTTCGTCCCAAACTATGAGTTTGCAATCGCGCAGCACATGAGCCGTATTACTCTGTTTGGAGATGTTGCAGAGTGGAGTTTCGATATTAGTGAGGTTTAATGGGAGCTTAAAGGCAGCATGAGCTGTCTTGCCTCCCTGCAAAAGTGTGGCTGCGATTCCTGACGATGCGACGGCCAGAGCAATTCCACGATTACTCCTAACTTTTGCTAACAGTAAATTGATAAGGAATGTTTTTCCAGTGCCACCGGGAGCATCTAAGAAAAACATTATTCCCTTTTTTTTGTCGATATTACCAAGAATCTGCTGGTATATGTAATTTTGTTCATTCGTCATCGTCTCTTCATTAGATAACACCACTTCTCTCAGAGCACCTAGGTCATAATTAGTCTCCCTCAGATATTCTCGATTACCGAAACTTGCTCCCGATCTTTTTGGTCGAGGCAATCCGTACTGTCCTATATCTTGGCCTGCTTGCGCTAACACTGCATCCTCGATCAATATTAAGCATCTGTTGTATACTTCGTCCATGAGCCGTTGCGCACTATCTAACAAATCTCTTTCGAGTTGCCTTTTAATATCCTCCGAGAAACTGTCTTTGAATTTCTCCCAAAGGCTTAAAGGATCAGAAAGTTGACAAAAAATCAACATGACTGTAAAAAGCTCTCGAAGCTTCAAAGGAGAATCGCATAATGCAGCTTCCTCTAATGTAGTGTCCCAATGACTGTCGTCCTCGTGCAATCCAAGAGCTTTGCATGCAGATTGGAATGTCGGATGGAGGACTCCGTTTACAGTCTTCAAGTCTTCAAAACACGTCGGTCCTCTAACCACATGGAGCAACAGGCGCAGATGATAACATTCCGTGTTGTTAGGATGAATGGTATAGACCCTGCCCAGAACTTTTTCTTTTTTCACTCCAGGCCAGCCCTCCACTACTTTCCCTAGTTTCCTTCTTGAAAATGTTTTGTTGTTGTACACATAATAAGAAGGAACTTCATGGTAAAGTAGTGTCTTGGCGAAATTATCTGTTTTGCAGATTTCAAAAAATGCTAGAAGCGTTGTTTGAGGTGGAGTGTTGTGATGAGTGTCTCGTAGGTTAGTGGAGGTGAAGTATACACGCTGACCGTTTTCGAGGTGAACTGCGAGTTGTGTGACGGGGGGAAACCTTTCATGAATGGGAAAGGTTAAGATTCTCCAAACTGCCTCGGAACTGCTTATGTATCGGCCACTTTCGTACATTTTCACTTCATCCTTCTCATTCTCAATAGTAATGGTCGCTTGATCACTACCCTTGTTCACGTACTTACATATATATTTGATAGACTTAACTGAACTGCACAACTCCACATTAATATGAGCATTGAAAGTACGTAATAAAACAGGATTGTACGGTACCACCCAACGGTTGTCTAACTCGTTTCCATTTTTTTTATCGTGTAGCCGCCGTCAGCTGGAGACCTTCTTCTGTATTGCGGATATCCGTCGTCGCCCGTTTGCGTATCTTTTAGGAGTGGTCGAGGATATTTTTTACTGCAGCTACCATCTTTCATGCAGGGCGATTTGTGGTTTAAACTACCGCAAGGGCCGTGTAACATGTTGCTCTTCACAACATTGTAGAGGAGAGGGTCTTCCTCAGAATCAGGTATTTCAGCTCTAATAACATCGTCAATTTTGTCCGGCATGATACGCTGCTCTAGCCACAATAGGATGTGAATATGAGGAAGACCTCGTTTCTGCCACTCGATTGAGTATATGAAGCAACGCACTGGTCCAAATAAATCACCTTTGGTTAAAAGGGCCATCATCTTTTTTACTTTAAGGTGGAATACTCTGGCTATAATGTCATGGCGGTCATGTGATTTTTGGCCTGGGAAAAGCGTATCAGTGATTGCTTTCCATCGGGGATTACACGTAAACGTGATAAAAAGGTCCGGACGGCCATATTGACGCACGTACACCATGGCGTCTTGAGTACGCTCATACATGTAACGCCCACCACCAACAAAAGATGACGGTAGCACCACTCTTTGTCCCAACTGATCACCATCAGCATCCTGCCTCCCTATGGCATCTCGCAGATGTATGTAACTATCAGTCCTCAGCTGCGCTTGGTTGTTCCTGATGTAGTTTAACCTTTCTGTCTCTATTTTGGCGTACATATCAGCTAAAAATTGACTAAAAAGAGAACGAAAATACATCAAGTGATTATGTTCTCCTTGTCTAATCATTATACGGTAAGCATAAAAACTCGCAGCGGATACTGTTTTTCTAAATATTTGATTAGTCAAGGGATCACGCTGAGGTACCGAAATGGAGTATCCATCCTCGCCACGGCAGAACAAAAGTGGATACTGCAAGGCGTCGTACGAACGATGGATCTCACTAATGCGATGTAATGATTTGTCGTGGCTCTCAAGGATAATGTCCCGTTTCTCAAATTGCTCGTCAAGAATTACTAAAGCCACCTCATTTGACGTAGGAGCATTGAATCGACCCCCGTGGCTATTTGGTGGCCTCCTCACGGCATTAATGACCACCTTGAAAGGCTCAGACGTTGCGGGTACCTTTGCCAGGGCCGTCTTGAAGTCTCTTACATAGGCATTATTATTGTGTAGCATTCCTTGTAATTCTCTGACTAAGCCAGGTTTCACATAGGGATGGTTACCACACCTCAACTGCACTTCTCTGTCATCTTCACCAACAAAATATATTTGTAAGAATTGTGGTTCTTTTTGAGGTGCTGGCAACAAACTCCCAACCAGGTGGTATACTTGGCCCTGAACTTTAAAAGTATACATAAAACCATCCCGTATAATCTCTTTGGCACCGAATGAAGTCATCTGAAAGGCATTATTATATTTACGAATTCCATTCATAAAATGCTCGTGATCTGGATGTAGATCCATTATCAGACTGTATAGAGGCTCGGGTAGTTGTTCATAAGGCAGGAGCTGCACCTTACCAGAGCTGCAACACATGCCGGGTGTCTCCTCCTTCCACTTGAGAGCATTGCACCACCGGCACTTGTTAGACATAGAACCCAAGGCCACGGTACTGTCGTTTTCATAGTCGGTATCTATTTCGTATATCATGCCGGAGAACGCTTTAATTTTCCAAGAACGTCGTTGCCTTTTAACTCTGATTTCAGGATTATTTTGCTCGTATCGAGACTGTGCCGCCCGATGCACTTCAGGGTGGGCTTGCTGGTATCGAGCTACGGCTTCTCTATGTAGCTCTGGATGAGCTTGTACTTTCAAATTAGGGTTATTTTTTTGGTATTTAGACACAGCAGCGCGGTGAACTGATGGAAACTTATGCAAATACTTTTTAGAGGCGTTTTGGAGTTGTTTCTTCCGAATAACATTGGTACATCTAGAACGACGTTTTTTAGAGCTTTGGGTGGAAACGCTAAGAGGTGTTGATTGATATTGAGATGAATCACAACCTGATCCTGGTGGCGGGGATGAGAAAGTAGTATCTTGACTTCTGATAGTTATGCTGTCGGCGACGAGAGGGCAAGGTGAAGAAGTGGACATAGACTCGCATAATATTGATCCAGCGGCATTATCTACGTATACATCAAATTGACCGATTGAAAGGTCATTTGAGAAACGTAGTCGTTTTACAGGATTATCGGAATTGCCGAACCTTGCGTACAACTCACCATTACGATACACTTCGAAAACCAATGAGTTAGCCTGCTGCTTCTAGCTCGCATAAGCCGCCATAGGTTAAAGGGCGAGACATCGCCTCGTAGTACTTAGCCGCGCTCGAGTATGTAGTAGTAGTACATCCCCGTTGTTGTCGTGGGACATAATAGCGAACTCTTCCCAATTGGCGACCACATGGTTAACTATTTCTTCTCGTATTTCCCCAGCCATCACCTGCGTATCGTAGAGTAAATAAGAGATGCACCGAAACAAACACGCTCCGTCCCCCACCATAGGAACTACTTTGTGAGATACCATAGTTTCACCGATATTCAACAATTCAACAACCATTCTATTTAAAAAAAAAACAAAAAATCTGAAATCCAAACTAAAACATAAACCAAATCTTACTAATGGTGAGAACAATTCAAACTATTTCAATTAAAACTAAACATAAACTTTTTCTAATTACCTGTTTAGAATCAAACCGAATTATTTTTAAATAATCTAAGAATAAGAACAAAATCAGAGTATTTCAATTTAAATCTAAACTTAACTATTTTTAAATATATTGCTACTGAAATCGAAACTAAATCTTTCAATTAAATTCAATTGCAGCGCATCATCATCAAGCATACGTGTTACCTCGACAAAATTTGCTTTTACAATGAGCCAGCCCGCCTCCGCGCGCCTTATATACTGCCAGAGGGAGAGACGCGCGAAACTTGCCGGAAATAATGCACCAGTGTTGCCAGATGTAACATAATTATCGAAAAAAATGTCTATACCTATGTGGCGGATTCATCTCTCCAAAAAAAATCTTTACTTAAATAAAAATACCCATAAAGATAAAAAAAGGCGAAATACCCATAAAGATTTTTTTTGAGAGATAATTATCGAATTGTAACATAATTTTGGAACAAAATTTTCCCAAAAAAAATCTGTACCATAATCGATAATTGTAACATAATTTGGTAACCTGCCATAATTAATGTTTTATCAATTATGAACTACATTTTTATGATAAATAAATTAACTTTAAGGTAGTTAATGCAAAATGACACAAATGGTTTCAAAGTTTAAAAGAATGGCAGGGTCTAGAGCACTAAATATTCGCGACGAATCAAGTAATTCCGATTTAAAAATGCGGGAAGAAGAGCCCGATATTATAAAACTGACTGAGAAAATACGTTTGAAACGTGTTAAAAATAAGTTAAACCGACAAAAAATAGGATCCAAATTTATTGCTATAATTATATTTTTATACAACTTCCTCAGAATGAAATTCGCAACAAATCGTGCAGATTAATCAATAACCAGATTTTTCGAAACACTGTATACATTTTTAAAAAATCTTGAAATATGTAAAAAACAAAATAAAATATACGCGTTCAAGCGTTTTTTCGGAAATTTGATCGTTTTTTAAATAAAAAATATGGTAATACTTGAGGGGTGGTTTTAACCCCTTGGAACTGGGATTTCGAAAAATCCCTTCTTATCGAACCACTACACCCTAGAATCAACCTATATGCCAAAATTGAGCTTCTTACGTTGAGTGGTTTGAACAGGATCGTGATTAATCAGTGAGTCACTTAAGAATTTTATATATTAGTATAGATTATTTGAGGGGCGTTTTCACCCTCTTGGAATTTGAGATTCGAGAAACCCCTCCTTATCGAACCTCTACACCCCACAGTCAATCCGTTTGCCAAAAATCAGCTTTAAACGTTAAGCAGTTTAAGCAGAATCGTGATTACTCAATGGCCATATTTTATGAAACACCCTGTATAAATTTTTAAAAATCTTAAAATATGTAAAACAACAAAATAAAATATACGTGTTTAAGAGTTTTTTCCGAAAAACTCACCGGTTTTTAAATAAAAAATATTCTAATATTTGAGGGGTGGTTTCACACCCTTAGAATTCGAGTTTCGAAAATCCCTCTTATCGAACCTCTACACCCTAAAGTCAATCCGTTTTCCAAGAATCATCTTTTTACGTCAAGCATTTTAAGCAGGATCGTGATTAATCAATGAGCAGATTTTTCGAAACACCCTGTATATATTTTTAAAAATCTTAAAATATGTAAAAAAGAAAATAAAATATACGTGTTTAAGCGTTTTTCGGAAACTTGACTGTTTTTAAATAAAAAATATTGTAATATTCCACCCCCCTTTTTACCCCCTTAGGGGATGAATTTAAAAAAATCCTTTCTTATCTTACGTAAACATCATAAAAGGAACCCCTGTGCAAAATTTCAGCTTTCTAGGGTCAAGGGTTTGGTCTGGGCGTTGATGAGTCAGTATCAGTCAGAACAGTCAGATTTATATATATAGATTTACTTATTTATTGAGACAACATTTAAAATCAGAAGAGGGTTTAAATAAATTACAGATTTAAAAGAAAAATATAGGATGTCCCAATATTCCGTTGACATAGAACTAGGTACTAAGCATTTTTGGGATTAAAATAAGTTCATTGGACGCAATTTATCTTTATATAACAGTTTATCCGTTAGAGATTATTAAACTTTTAAAGAATAAACACATTTTTTAAAATATTTTAAGAACCGTTATTCCGATTTGAATGAGATTTGGGGTGCCTATGTTTTGCCAAGGGCTTTAATATTTAACTTTTTCTAATATAGCCCTTCCGGTATTTACTACATATTTTGTCTCTTGTAAAAAAACATATCACATAATTTCATAATTTTTTTGAGTAATTATTTTTCGGTCCTTAAAATATCTTAAAAATTTTGTTAAATTTTATTTTTTGAAGTTTGGGGGCTCCTAACGAATGACTCTTATATGAATTGTACCCAATGAAACTCTCCTGGTTTCAAAAATACGTAGTATTTTTATGTCCACGGAATACTGGGACACCGTGAATACAGGGTTCGGCAATAGTGCATCAGGCATCTGTGCTCCTATAATAAAAAACTTTTTATTGTAGGAATTTTGTATAAGTACAAACATAAAATATGTATTAGGATGTGTTTCAGAAAAATATTTCAACTCATACAGGATGGCTGAAAAAAGTGTGAGTGGATCGGAATGATTTTTTTTTAAATGGAACTATATTACTCTCTATATCTTTAAAATTCTATATGGGTATTTCGCCACTGCAAGAAAATCTACAAAATAAAATAATTATTTTTTTGTAAACACTGCTTTCTGTTACCCGCTATATTATTGCATTTTTAATGTCCTTTTTGATCACTTTACATAATCCTAATAGATATTATTAAATATGTAAATAATCTATATTATTAAATATGTTTTGATAGTTTCCAAGATATTAATAAATAAAACATATATGTTTTTCGAAATTAGAACTGTATTAGATATTTACTATTTTGATTATTGGATGTTTCGATTAACCTCTGTTATCTCATTCATATTGCTAATTGCTTAGTAAAATACCCAACTGAACTTAATCTGAGCATTTAGTGACTGATGCGGAAATCGGCAAATACTATATACCTGGTCAGATAGCAAAATATTGATTTTAATAATATTTTTGATATTTACCAAGGCACTTAGCATATGCTTTGGTAAATTATTATTTGCCTAAATTTACAGTATGCATACGACATACAGAATACCCCCGGATTGTCATTACAAGAAAAAAAACTTTTTTATTACTAACATTTTAAGAAAAATGCATACTTCATAAAAACATTTTGATGGTTAAAATAAACTAAAATGCTTCATAAAAACATTTTGCTGGTTAAAATCGTTAATATCGCTTATACTTTTCCAAATTTCCATACTACCGTTTTAGAGAAAATTAAAAAAAAACTTGAAAATATGGTTGAATTTCCTAAAAATTCAAACGCGTTTCTATGGTAATACACAATATTCAACTATATTTTCGTGTTTATGTTTAATTTTCTCTAAAATGATATGGAAATTTGGAAAACTATAAACGAGATTAACGATTTTAGATCAAATAAAACAAGAAAAATTTTTTTATGATGAATGCATTTTTCGCAAAATGTCAATAATAAAAAAGTTATTCTTCTTGACAATCCGGGGACATAGTGTATACAAGACGACCCAGTGTTTCGAGAATGCTTCATATCAAGGCTACCCAGACAGCATAAAAAATAATAAACAATTAATAATAATAGACATTTAATGCGGTAGTAGTGAAATTATTGATTTTTTTCCATAGCAACTGTCAAAATTGCCCTATATCTATCAAAAATAGTAGATAAAATATAGTACCTCAGCAATCGACACGAAAAAGAATTAAAAAATATTGACTCAAAACTGACAACTAAAGAGACAGCTTTATTTATTTATCAAATTACATAGAAACCAACGCCAACCCAGCACAATATTTTTTCTACTCGTAATAAATTCCTTGAAATAATAATTTCTGAATATTTTTTAAAACATAACTCGCTGTGGAAAAAAATATTGTTTTATACTCGACGATAAAATTGCATTATCGTCTCCTGAAATTTCCTGAACTCGCGATTTCATCGATTCAATAATCTTTCCGGTCGACGATAAAATAACATTTTATCGTCTTGTATAAAAAAATAACTATGAATTTTTATAAGTATAGGTCTCATTCTTTTTATACTATTGTAGTTTTTAAATGAAATGGTGTATATTTTTTGTCCGGTAGGTTTGGCTTTAGATATACATAAATTAAAACATTAAAAAACTAATGATTCCTAAAATTAATCATCAAAAAATATCATATAGGCGCAACGAAAGGTGAAACATTTTTTTCAAATGCTAAAAATATTTAATAAATGTTCATTGAACTATTATTAATTTGAATTTTTATAACTATAGGTATTTATTGTTGTTTTTAAATGAAATGCTGTATATTTTTTCTCAGGTGGGTTTCCATTCCAAAAATACCAAAAT